ACACACTCTGAGAGATGTCAGATTACAGAAGTTAAATAGGTTGCAGATGCACTTTATGTTGTCTGTAACACATTTTAATCGCATCAGGGCATGTTTCATAACAAAAACGCCCACTCTCGTGGCTAATCATCTGTGAGTTCACTTACTTTCCTCCATAGCGGTGTCATCCAGCAGGGCAGGAAGTGGATCCGGAGCGCTCGTTTTCACTCTGTTGCTGTCTCTCTCCCTGTCCCTCTCCCGGTCCTTCTCTCTGTCTCGGTTGTGATGTGCGTTGTCGAGTTGTCGTCTCTGCTGTTTGTTCTTCTGAGTCTCTAATGCCTTCAGCTTACGAGCATGTTTATGACCTTTATAATGAGCTTCAGCTTGATTCTAGAGAAAGACAGAAAGAGTGAAAGGAATACAAAACTGTAACTATTATTTGGTCATTACATTGTTAGTTGCAGTTTGTGTTATTTCATAGATTTGGTCTCTTTATAATTATTCTTAAATCTGGAAAATATATACTAACTAGTATGTGGGTCAAAATTCTTGACTCATAGTGTACATGACAACAGATATGCATATGCACAGAAACAGAAACATGCATATGTGACCCTGGACCACAAAACCAGTCATAAGGGTCATTTAAAAAAAAAGATTTATACATCATCTGAAAGCTGAATAAATAAGCTTTCCATTGATGTATGGTTTGTTAGGATATGACAATATTTGGCTGAGATACAACTCTGAATCTGAGGGTGCAAAAAAAATCAAAATACTGAGAAAATTGCCTTTAAAATTGTACAAATGAAGTTCTTAGCAATGCATATTACTAATCAAAAATTTCGTTTTGATATATTTACAGTAGGAAATTTACAAAATATCTTCATGGAACATGATCTTTACTTAATATCCTAATGATTTTTGGCATAAAAAAAATAATTTTGACCCATACAATGTATTTTTGACTATTGCTACAAATATACCTATATTTTTTGTTAATTGTTAATTTTCATGACCATGTAAGGGATCATATACAGTCAGCTGGTCATTATTGTATCATATTGAAGGATTTTATTTTTCAACAATGATGATTAGATGACTGTATCTTTCATTACAAGGTAACTTAATAAATAAATTAGTTTGAAATATTGATATACCCCGGTACATTTCAATTGAAGAAACATACAACTGAGTGCCAAGCCAGAGATGAAACTAGCACAGCTGTGTAGGAAATTGGTTCCCAGGGAAAATGGTCAAATATACAGTTTACATAAACCAAAATTGACCAATCAGAATCAAGTATTCTAGAGTGCCTTGAAATAAATATGGGAAATGTCTTGATTGCATGAAAAAAAAAATGGTTAGACATGGTTTCAGTTAAGCTGACCATTAGACAGTCTGGGTCATTTTACTTCAACTTTTACAAGCCTTTCAGATGTGACTTGCTAGTGAATAAAATGTTGTTGTGATGGGCACTCTGTCTATAAAAGTAAGGTTTTATTATGGCATGAACTAGATTTTTGAAGTTGCAAGATAATTTTTGCTTTCTTAAGTGCATATATTGCTACATATGAGGCAGTGTTTAAGATTTACTATCTTATGCTAATGTTGATAAACAGCATTTGTAGAATTGGCGGCTACTGAGTCACGAATTAAAGGTCTGAACTACATTCTGAGATTTACTATAGTGCATGCCAAGCTCATAGATCTCTCTTAATGAGAATACCTCTGTCTGCCTGTCATTGAACTGCGGCCTGTGTGAGCAAACCCCATTTATATTTGGTTCCACTCATCTAAATTCACTTCAGAGTCAATTAACAGCCCGTCACCCTTATTTCAACCGTCTCTTGGATTTATGTTGTGGCAGTGAATGTTTTAGAGAGAAAATGATCTGTGAAGTACAGTTTTGACATCTTAATTGTTTGCTTATCAAATATTTTTAAATAGGAGCAACTTTGTTGAAGCTTAAGCTACAGTATTTGCATGTAACATGCAGTATTACGCTATAGATTTGAGAAGCATGTTATTACAAGATTTAAACCGTAATGATGTGTTTGCTTCACCATTGGACATTACACAATGTATGGGAGAAGGGTTGGCCATATCTGCAGTACTTAAGCACCTTGACAGTAATTGATCTTGATTTTGGATGAGCCATTGCTCCCCGCCTCTGATTCCAGTTAATTTTTCTCTCTTTTTTCACCTCTTGTCCTTCCCGTCCTCCTTCCTTATGCCCTCCTTCCTTATGCTTCCATCAGCCCTCTGTGGATATCCTGAGGAAGCCACCCTAATGAGGGTGCGTCAGGACCCCCTGACCAACTTCTGTCTCATATCCTCTCTAACTCAAATACAACTCATGCCCACTTCTCCCCTCCAGGGTGGCGCCACACATCTCACAACACCTACGTCAAGCAACTTCCCCATCCCCACGTTACTTTGAAGAGTGTGAATCATTTCCAGTCGTTTGGTCTCCTTTAGTCTTTAGTACAAGGCCATTAACACATTCTGGTCTTTTTGATACAGACAGGCCTCATGCTTTCTGAGTGTGTAAGTTTTAGTCTGTGCTTAGAAATTGTGTCAGGACACATTTAGGCACTGGGCATTAGCATTTATGATGAGA